AATTATAACATAATATATTAATATAATAATTAAATAATTTAATATTAATAATAATAAAATTAAGAATATAAAAATATATTAATATAATATTGTTATTTTATTTTAAAATTTTAATTTATTTAATTTTTATTTTATTTTATTTTTATTTAAATACTTAATTATTATTCAGTTTAATTAAATATAATAATTTATTATTAAATAAATTTATTATTTAAATACATGTATAATTTTTTTTAATTTTAAATAGAATATAATTTCTATTTTTTATAAATAAAAAAATTATGACATAATATATTAATATAATTATTAAATATTAATAATTATAAAATTAAAAATATAAAAAATATATTAATAAAATAATATTATTTTATTTTTTAATTTTAATTTGTTTAATTTTGATGCAAACATAATAATTTATTATTAAATAAATTTATTATTTAAAAAGTTGAAATTTTTATGTACGGTATCTAAATTTTTTTAAAGATACCATAGAATTTATCTTATAAAATTCTTCCTAAAGATTTTTTCGTCTCTTGCCTGTTAAGTAAAGTTTGAAGCTATTCCTCTCCATAAATTTTGTATGCTAAATCTTAATAATTCCAATCTTTCATATCTTTTAAATTAAACATTGGTTTTTATTGGTCTTTGACATTAATTTCTCTTCCATTTACGTTTAATTTAACAATATCAGTACATTATACCAAGAATAATAATTAATCAGTACAAGAAATTTAAGTCTTTCAAAAATTATAACATTCATATGTTTTGTTTGATAGTAAAATTTACAAATTTAGAATATTGTATGTGACGATTTGGTGGACTTCAATTTAGATGCACCGATGCTAAAGGGAGTTGAAGTTTTGCGATCCTGATAATTTCTTTACATTTTTAAAAAATGATTTATAGTATTTGGAAAATGGAAAATAAAAATATAAATAAAGGACTCTTAATTAAACCTAAAAGTGAGAGTATTTCCTAGCATACTGTCTTTTTTGTTGAAACACATAACAAAAATTGTTAATTTTTTATATTTAAAAAATATTATAATTTAATTTTTTTATGTTATATTTTTTGGTATTTTTTCAATGTTATTTTTTAATTATCAAATTCTGGCTTTGCTTTTTATAGCAAAAGTTCCTTTTATTTGTCCTAAATCTTAATTACTTATATCCTAAGCTACTTGTATTTTCTTAGTTACATTAAAACACGTATATTTTGTACAAAATTTGGCTAGTTTTATCTGAACAAGCATTTAGAAATTATAAAATTACCTTCAGCCTAAAAATGTATAAGGTTGAAATTGATTACATACGATGCAAACGAAAAAAGGAAAAAGGTATCATTTAATAATAGAACACAAAAGTTTGAGCTGATATGATTGTTTCCATTGATATAATCTTTACTTAATAAAATTTCAAATATAATATATAGGTTGTGAGTTTATAATAAACTTGTGATGCATTATATTAATATAATTTCAAATATAATATTATATATAGTATAAATTGGTAATATTTATATTTATATTTTAATTTTTATCAAAAAGTATGTTACATACAAAATCATATGATTTTGCATATAAGATTTTGTTATTTTTACTTTACATGATGTTGTTAACTTTCACGTATAGATATATAAGAGTTTCTCTCCTTTTGTTTCACATTTATATTGACCATGTCTTTATTATTAGTATGTGAAAATAGATATAATTAAAATGCTAAGATACCATTACTAAAATTTTCCAATCATCCTGGTAGCATTTATAGCTTGTCTTAATTGTCTGTTGTTCCATTTCTGGTTCGACGAGAGATCAGAGTTAAAGTCACGAAAGATTATACATGCAACATGCATGATGAATACACAGACCAAAAACTCACGACAAAAGTTCAACTATAAAAGAATTTTACCATAATTGCTTATGCTGTGCTTCAAATTGAAGCTTTCCCTCAAGAAACCATTGGTGGGCCCTTATCATTTGTTCAAGCGTTGTCTTCATTTACCCACTAATCAACACAATAAGTTCTTTACGCTTAACTGGAACCATAGATGACGGGATAGTAATTTTAGATAAAAGATAAAGTTTATGTGTAGTTATTCAAATGATTTTCGTGTTATTTTAAAATTAAAATTGTAATTTTATCAGTAATTTTTGAAAATATAAAATGTGAATTTTTTTACCTAAATAAAATTTAATTTTTATCGAAAATAATACTAAAAAGTATCTGCAAAGTTGTATTTTTAAATTCCTTTTGTATCCGTATTGCGCACAAATAATGATGACAACGGGATGGCATTTAAAGGAGAGAAAATATTTGGTATAATGGAAACAAGGTGATGTTGAAAGGGAATTAGTGTATAGCTTATTATATTAATTGCTCACATAACACGCAGAAAAGGTACAAACTGATTGCTGATATTATGTTACAAACTCATTATCTCAAAAGCTCGTGCTGGTAGTAGATGACATATATCAAGGATTTAATATTCATTTCTAACGTCTTCGATGTTGTAAAATATTCAAAATTTTGTCACTCCAACAATATTTTCATCTTAAAAAAAAAGGGGATCACATATGCTATTTTTTCAGAATTAAGGAAAATGACAAGACCCAACAACATCTTAAAAAAATACTCCATGATTTTTTAAAGGATAGAAGTTCAATCTTAATGATGCTCCCTTCGAATCAATGGACTATCTATCGTTTCTGTAATATGTATTAATAGTATATTAATTGCAGGCTAGATTGGTTTGGCATCAGCTGCATGAAGAGTTTGGTAGTTACGATCTATATTAGTCACTAATAAATAGGTTTCACAGAAGTAATCATTCTTATTTTTACTGCCCTTCAATTTGTGTTGTGTGAGAATGTGTTTATAAATTTATTAATAATTAAATAAATGTTTGGAAAAGAATCTCAAAAAATATTTTTTATGTAAATTAAAAACAACAAATATTAAACAAACAGTCTTAATTAACAAGTTATTAAAACTTTAACTTTTAAAGTTTAAACAAACAACAAGTTTTTTTTACTTTTAATTACCTGTAGCTTATAGTTATTTGTCTGGACTAGGAAAGGTTATTTACCCGTATTCACTGAAAAAGTAAAGGGAACAAACCATTACGTACACTCATCGCTTTTTTCCTGATTTTTTCATTTGAAAAAGATTTTATTTCGCCACATTCAAGCATGAATGGTTCACTAATTAATGAGTATGATTTTGCAATCTTATGTATATAATGCTTTGATAAAATATTTAACATAGATGACCACTTGAAATTAATTTACCACCAGAAATTGTATTCCATTTTTGATTAAACACTTGTTAACTGTTCTGAGACAATGGTAGCATGTGGAAATGGGAATCTTGTTTATGAACCTCACATGCCGTACTCTCAAGACAGTTGGTAGGCTATCACATATGTAGTTTACAATTGGAATCAGCCCACTTTCTCCTGCTTCATTTTTTTTTTCTTAATTGTCAAAAAATGAAATGATAGGATATTCGCATCCTTTCAAATAAATTTGTTGGTCAATGATATAATTTTTTTATTTTGGAACTTTATTAATAAAATTTAGAAGAGCTATACTTTATTCTCAATTATTCTTATTGCGTTTGAAAATATATACAAAATAGGTATCATTTGTCTATCTCCTTATCCAATCACACACACAAAATGTCTATATGCTCATCAATATATATATACTTCTCAAAGAACGTGGGCCCTTTACAAGTTGGCATGGAATTTTTTTACATGCATGCATGTATCACAACATACTGATGCTTAATTACATTTTTTTTTTCTGGGGTAAGTAAAGACTAAAGAACTTGACCGTAATACTCATATTAGGATATTGATGCCTTGTACTTCTCACCCACCTGTGCAGAATAATCAGAGTTGTTAAAAAAATTGAAATGAGGTGAAGTTATTGTGTATTTTACATATTAAAAACAGTGAGACATATCTTGATCAAAAGTGCGCTAAACATTGGTAGAAATAGTAATAGAAAAATACATATAAAAAGTAGAAGAACTAGCATTCCACTTCAAGCACTTGCAAGTGGCATGGGGGCGATGGAAACCGCAGTAAAAACATGACAAGAATACATATATTTTCCGCAAATAGAGTCACGGGTTTTGATATTCCTTTATGGTGCTTTAGTCAATTCCAGTAACATCACGGGGGGTTGATAGCGTTATTTCATGGATCATTGGTAAACACCCAATAACGGGGGTTTTTGAACAGTCTTCAAGTGAAGTCATTGTACTTGGTGGAGAGAACCTTCAGAAACAGTCAAATATTTTGACTTCTCTATTTTTCTAATGTATTTATGTCAAAAAAATTATGCTTGTTTATTTAAGTCTTGAGAACGTAGCATTTGTTTTGATAGTCAAAATAGAAGCCTAATAACCAGCTAGCTTGTGGATTTTTTTAAAAAAACTAGTGAATATGCAACACGAGAAAGCTAGCCATATGCCATCTTCGCTCGCTCGCGGTACAAGTAAGCAAGCCAGAGATTCCTTGGTCCGTGAATGTCCATAACTTGCACTTCTCAAAAAAGATTAAAAGTAAATAAAATATGAAAAAAAAAATTAATCACACCCCTTCTCTCTCTTACTTTTTGTTACGTTTCTCTTTCTTTATATATTTATTTTCCTATGTTATGGCATATAATATATTTTAATTAATTTATTTTAGCATCTACTACGATGCTAGTAGTCCACAGAGGGACCAACCCAGCCACCACCCACTGAGCCTAACTCCGTGTTACAATGACTCACTCTCTCCCGATGAAGTAAATAAGCATTCAAGTTGAGTTCCCACTCGTTATAAGCTTGATACATATGAATATTATATATCCAATTAATCGTTCAATTAATCGACGTGGAAATCCAATCATGAAAGGTTCTTTCTTTGCCCCCTATAGTTACCCAAACTCTTTAAAAGACGCAACTCCCCTCTATATATACACAACCCACTCTCCCTCGCTCCTCACTCAATCATTCATTCTCATCAAACCACATTTTCATTCAAAATCTATATGGGTTATTGCAATGGCAAAAGCCTATTGGCTTTTGGGTTAGTGATTTGTGTGACACTGACCTTAATAAGGGTAGGGGAAGGGAGGGTGCCCTTTGCATGTGACCCTAAAAATGGGTTAACAAGAGGGTTCAAGTTTTGTAGAACAAACGTGCCTATACACGTGAGGGTGCAAGACCTCATAGGAAGGCTCACATTGCCTGAGAAAATAAGGCTTGTGGTGAACAATGCCATTGCGGTGCCAAGGCTTGGAATCCAAGGCTATGAGTGGTGGTCAGAAGCACTACACGGCGTTTCCAATGTGGGGCCCGGTACCAAGTTCGGTGGGGCCTTCCCTGGCGCCACTAGCTTCCCTCAAGTCATCACAACCGCTGCTTCCTTCAATCAATCACTGTGGAAAGAAATTGGACAGGTGAGATCAATTGATTCATTCATTGATTGATTAATTATATTTGTTCTATTATCATATATTCATATTCATATCCCATGAACTTATAACATCAACTTTTTCATTTCATCCATTGGTCGGCTAATAAATAATCAAAAGTGGATTCCTTCGTTCTCTTTTTCGGCCATTCACGATAAAATTAATCATTTATCCATTCATCTTTCACAACTAATATATTTCATGTTGTCTTTGGAATACATACACCAGCCAATTGGGTAAACGACTTTTACATATATACGAGTATAAAAGTACGCACAATTATCTATTTCTTTTGATTCTATGTTACCTTTAGATAAATTAAATTATTATATGTTCTATAATTAAATTAAGCAAATGAATCCACAGCTTGGTTTTAATTTATAAAAAAATTATTTTAGTTTCTTCTTATGAATTTTCAATCTTTCTTTTATTTTCAGATAATACATATTCGTACTTTGACTCAGTAATAATAATATAATCAGGTCCTGGGACCTCAATGAAAATGAAAAGGAGTCTGAAAACGGAGCTCAAGATTTTTTTTTCTTCTTTTAGAATTATAATTACAAAAACGTCTGAAGAACAACAGAAGGTCTTTTATCAGACGACAAAAAAAAAGTTTTTGCATATTATAAATCAATTATTTGTATTTATTTTCCAATCACGAAGACAATTGTTTTTAGTGCATGCATACAGAAATGAAAAAAGGGAAAATATTATTAAAAATATGGTGCTGCTGGCTACTCGCTAGTCACCTGTTTTAGGTGGTTTACATAGAAGCTGACGAATTGTGTCCCAACTTCCATGTGCCTTGCATGCATTTGAAATATAAATATATGTGAAATTAGTCAATCGGGTCATTTTAAATGTTTTAGAAAATGATGGCGTGGAAAAATCACCAACTTACTTTGTCAGCTACTAGAGGTTAAAAGATAGTTCATTACGCTATTGTTTCATTAACTACGAAAGCAACAACGTCATCAGAGGGAGGGTGGCCGGTTTTGGTTGTCCTTGCTCTTTCTCTCCCGTTGCATAGTCCCTCTTCACGTCATTTTAATTCAATATGTATGTACTCAGATCGGAATAATATTAATTACACTTTTGGTGGCAATTAGTAGATCTTTTTCATACTTCAAATTGTTTCTTCGGTTAAAAAAGATTTTTCCATACAAACTTAATTACGGTTAGTGAAGCATAAAAATCTATATCATCTTTGCATGTTTGACGCGTTTAGTGAAGCATAAAAATTCATCATCTTTGCATCTTTAATTATTGGTTTGGTGAATAATTGACCAAACACTAGGTGTTTGATGTTGCCCACCATTAATAACTCTACTTGCAAGTAGCAAAAACTTGCGTCAACCTTCCCACTACGTGCGTCTTTCTTCTTTTCTTTTTGGTTTTGGTCCTGGGGCTATATCTGATGTATAAAGTCATCATTATAACTTGCTTTTGTTGCAACTACAAGGTCCAGTAATCGCCTAGTCGCATTAGCCAAAGATGCGATATTATTGGTTAGGTGATCTCTTTCTCTTAAGATAAAGTAATATTGATAAAGAAATCCCTTCCGTATTCGTTTGGATATATTAGTTGACGTTTGGATTCCCAAAAATGTCAACAATGGAGTGTCTAGTTTGTCCCTTAGTATAAAAAACTACTTTGTTTTAATTCCTGTAGTTAATTTAGCGAAATGACATGAATAGAGAAAGAAGAGCCGAAAAAAACAGATCAATTGAACCAGAACAGTTCCAACACAAGTAAAATATTCACCAGGCACATTCAAAGTGACGGAGGTAGATTTAAGAGGCGCATACTTTTAAATTCCCTTTATAAATATTTATATTTAAAAAAAAATTGAAGAGATTCCGTCATGCTTAAACAATCAAATACTTAATATATGTTAAAAATAAAATTAGATATATATTTATTATAATGAATAAAAGGTACGTATTTAGTTGAACTTATTTGAAAAAATAATGGGTTAATTTTTAAAAAGCAAATGCAACTAGTGTAAATTTAAGCGTTATAAAATATAATTATATTGATAGAAGATTGAATTTATGTACATGGAACGCAGGTGGTATCCGATGAAGGAAGAGCAATGTACAATGGGGGACAGGCAGGTTTGACGTATTGGAGTCCTAACGTGAACATATTCCGTGACCCACGGTGGGGCCGTGGTCAAGAGACTCCCGGAGAAGACCCAGTTTTGGCCGCAAAATACGCCGCCAGCTATGTCCAAGGACTCCAAGGCGACGGTGGCGGTAACCGCCTCAAGGTTGCTGCTTGTTGCAAACACTACACTGCCTATGACCTTGATAACTGGAATGGCATGGACAGGTTCCATTTCAACGCCAGGGTATGTATGCTCCAAGTATTTTCATTCCTTTCGTTATAAGAAATTTAGTATTAATAATTATTAGTTAATAGCCCAAATGGTCGTTAGGCATGAAGTTGATTACGCTATGATGAGTGCATTGAGCTCACTTTTCATGTGCGTCCATGCCTTCTCGAATTGCCACTCATGCCACATGGGTGTACCTATCTACTATTTCCAGCAAGAAAGCCTATATATAGCGGATCTCTCTTTTGTTTTTGTCCCTTCTCATTTCTTTGGTAAAGTAAGAGAAGAATTAACGCCATTTTTGCTAAAGTGGAACCGATGCTAGTTGTTGATGACAAGGACTTGCGCCCACTTGCAAATTAGTTAGGATAAGTCACAACCATGGCATTCAAACTACCAAATCACTACTTACGCACCATAAACCATTCTATTTTCGCTGTTATTAATCATGGTGTCCCTTGTGTCGATGCGACATTAATGGAAAATAAATAAATGAAAACGGTTTGGTGTTGTTGGTGTGGTATGGTATGGGCAAAGCAAATATTAAAAGCCCAAGTAGAAGCATGATTATGATGATGAAAAATGGCTTGGGGTATTGATGGGCGTGCAGGTAAGCAAGCAGGATTTAGCGGACACTTATGACGTACCATTTAAAGCCTGTGTGTTAGAAGGGAAGGTGGCGAGTGTGATGTGTTCCTACAATCAGGTGAATGGCAGGCCCACGTGTGCTGATCCTGAACTCCTTCGCAACACTATTCGTGGCCAATGGGGCCTCAATGGGTAAGTCCAATACCAAATTTCACTCATTTTCACCTTCACTGTTCACTTTCACCAATCTTAACATGCCTTCTTTTTTTTGGTCATATCAAATAGGTACATAGTCTCGGATTGTGACTCAGTTGGGGTTTTCTATGACAACCAACACTACACGAGAACACCCGAAGAGGCAGCCGCAGAGGCTATAAAAGCAGGCCTGGACCTCGATTGTGGTCCATTCTTGGCCCTCCACACCGATTCTGCTATTAGGAGAGGGCTCATTTCCGAAAACGATCTTAACCTTGCCTTAGCCAACCTTATTACGGTCCAAATGAGATTGGGCATGTTTGATGGGGAACCATCGGCCCAACCATATGGAAACCTGGGCCCAAGAGACGTGTGCACACCGGCCCATCAACAACTGGCCCTCGAGGCAGCTAGACAGGGTATTGTCCTTCTACAAAACAAAGGAAACACCCTGCCACTATCCCCTGTGCAACACCGCACCGTAGGAGTCATTGGACCCAATTCGGATGTTACTGTTACAATGATAGGGAACTATGCCGGTTAGTTTATCACCGCTAATTTATTACATCTCTCATTGCCAAAAAAGAAACACACCGTATCACATATTAATTTGTGATTTCTTTGTCTTTGTATTTTGGGGATAGGTGTGGCATGTGGTTATACGACGCCGTTGCAAGGGATTGCGAGGTACGTCAAGACCGTTCATCAGGTCGGATGTAGGGAAGTGGCTTGCGGTGGAAACCAACTATTTGGAGCAGCCGAAACTGTAGCCAGAAGAGTTGACGCCACTGTGCTGGTAATGGGCCTTGACCAGTCCATAGAAGCTGAAACAAGAGACAGACTTGGGCTGCTCTTACCAGGCCACCAACAAGAGCTTGTGTCTAGGGTCGCCAGGGCCTCAAGAGGCCCAGTTATCTTGGTTATAATGTCTGGTGGCCCAGTTGATGTTACATTTGCCAAAAATGACCCCAAGATAAGTGCTATTTTGTGGGCCGGTTATCCTGGCCAAGCTGGGGGAACTGCTATAGCTGATGTGATCTTCGGCACAAGTAACCCTGGTAAAGTAGCCACTCATCATCGTTATTATTATATCACAGAATAGACAAGCAGTTTAATTCAAATATCCGGCCAATCAGTGTTCTAATAACATTGGTTATAAATTTTCTAAATTAAACTATGAAAAGAATGGACAACTTTAGAAGCTTATTTGTTTAAAATTTAGAAAATTAGTTATGTTACCTTCTAATAAAAATACACACGTTAATTTTAATAAAAATTTGTAATTTAAATGAGTTATGTACATATCTTAATTATATTTGACAACTTCAAATTAATTTTTCTCAACAACATGTGATTTATTCTTTTGATTTGGTATATCTTGCAGGAGGAAGATTACCTATGACATGGTACCCACAGGGGTATTTGGCAAAAGTGCCAATGACAAACATGGATATGCGTCCAAACCCAGCAACTGGGTACCCAGGAAGAACCTACAGATTCTACAAAGGTCCAGTAGTGTTCCCTTTTGGGCATGGCCTGAGTTACTCCAGATTCTCTCAAAGCTTAGCACTTGGACCAAAACAGGTCTCAGTGCCTTTAGTAAGCCTCCAAGCACTCTCAAACTCAACCTTTTCAAGCAAAGCAGTGAGGGTGAGCCATGCCAATTGTGATGCATTGGAGATGGCATTTCACATTGATGTCAAAAATGAAGGGTCAATGGATGGGACCCACACCCTTCTCATTTTCTCAAAGCCGCCACCTGGAAAATGGTCTGCAGTTAAACAGTTGGTCGGCTTCCACAAGACCCATGTTCCTGCTGGCTCAAAACAACGAGTCAAAGTTGGTGTTCATGTCTGCAATCACCTTTCCATTGTGGACGAGTTTGGGATTCGAAGAATCCCAATGGGTGAGCATGAACTCCACATTGGTGATGTCAAACATTCCATTTCTGTCCAAACTCTGGATGAAATCAAACACTAGAAGAATAACTGTCAAGCAAATTTGACAGATACACCCAAGTTTTACAAATAGCAATGATTCCTTAGTAAGTTGCAAATACGAAGAATAAAAAATGAAGTGGCGTGCCTGCAAATGTAAAATAAGAATTAAGGAATAGGTGGTCATTTGTAATTGTAAGTCAATTATACTGCAACATAGTTGCCATTCTTACTGCAAATGTAAAATAAGGAAATAGTGGTGACATTTGTAATTTGTAAACCAGTTATAGTGGCAAGTGTATTGTTCATACTTCATATATCTCAAAAAGGGTCTTGGAAGTTGAACTTAGTTTTTTTTTTTTTTTTTCTCATTCAATCTGTCGTCTAAAAATTGAATGCTCGTGTTTAACATATTTTTTTGAAGTGACTAAAATTTATTAAAAATTATAAAAATACGTAGATTCACTCTTAATATAATGATTTTTATTTATAATTTTACAATTTTAATTCATAAGAAAAAAATGTATTAAAATGAATGTGTTAAGGTTCAGTGCTGTTGCTGGCCTCCACATTTGTTTCTTGACATTTGGGCTACGTCCTCACAATAAGCTGGCTTGAACTAGCATTTTGGGCTTGTTCGGGCTTTTTGGGCCCTTCGTTTGCTTGAAAAAGAAAATAAAAATAAAAATTAAGAAAAATAAAGTTTAGATTTTGGGGAATAATAGCTTGAATAAAAAACAAATAACACTCTCTTTTATAGGTTGACTTGGGCTCATTATTTCACAAATAAATACTCGTGTGTTGATAACTTGATATAGCTCAGGTGTCTTATTTTTTAGGAATCAGTCAGTGTTTTTCACGAGTTACGCAGCGCTTCCAAAGATGCATTTTTATCGAAATTTGTATTAAAAACTAAAGTAAAAGCGATTATATCGCCACCGGTAAAGTATCATCGTCACGTACATAGTTTACTTGTAATGGAATTCTTTAAATAGTGAGAGCTATGCATTTGCAGTTTATTAAAAACAAGGGATTAGAATAAGACAATGATTTTGTACTAATTAAATCAATCACATCATAATTTTACAAATAGCTGGTGGATCTTGCTGTGTAACTAAGGATAAGTTCGAGAAAAGATGATAAGTTAGTTAAAAGTTTTAAAGTTAATTAAAAATAAAAGTTGATACATAAATTGATATGATTAAAAGTATGTAATGATTTTAATTGTCAAGTTAGTTGATAATGTTATTTTATAGACACAGTGCATTAAATTTATTTTTCTAAATAATAGCAAAGAAAAATATTTTTAAAATTTTAATAAAAATTAAATTATTCTACTAAATGAAAAAAAATTAATATGTCAACTAAATTTTTTTTAAAATTGAACATAAAAATTTAATTAAGATATATTTATAAGCACTAAATTTATTTAGCAACCAATATTTAAAAATAACTATCACAAAATATTACGAAAAAATATAAACTAGTTAAATATATTGAGGAAAAATATATTTTTCTTTATTCAATTAAAAATATAAATCATATAAGGAAAGAGTATGAGAAAACCTAATTTTATTTTGACCATTCCTAGATAGAAAATATTACATTTAAGATTTATTTTAAATGTCAATCTATATTTATATTATTTACATAAAAGAATTTATCTGACTTTGAATATATCCTTTAATAATTATTTTGACATTAGAAAACAAGAAAATTATTAATATCAATTTTATTATTTTTATATACTTGAAATTAATCTTAAGAACTAAGACCAATAAAATCGAAAATATACATAATCATTTAAAATTTACTTTAATTCATAAAAGTATATTTATTAAATTATTTTTTCCACCTCTAAACCTTTTGAATTATACCATGAAAAAGCTTTACCTCAACTTTTCGAAAGACAAATTCTTATTCATTGTAGACAACAGGAGAGGATGAATGGGAAAATACAGCTGCTAATCTAAATTTATCCTACTCAAATCATCAACCCATGAGCCACTAAATGTCTGCAATTTTGGGTCCGAGTTCAGGCTCGCATTCAAAACTGCTTCTTTAATTCAAATCAACATGATAAATATCAATCTTTGAATCATATAAAAGGAGTGTATATAGGTTTGTATAATATAATAGAGATAATTAGTAAGATTGAACTAGGAAACTCAGCCCTTTAAAAAATTTATGAGCATACTTTATTCACCACAAATTAATAAAGTCAAAATAACTATGAACATTAGAGAATATGAGTAACAAGTGCGAGAGCGGAGCATACAACAATGAATGAGAAATTCACCAGAAATTAAGAGGAGAAACGATAAAGAAGAAATTGTAAAAATAAAAAATAAAAAGGGGGAAATAATTTGATAGATATTACATAGCGTAAATTCGTAGGCGGGAAAGTGTCGGTAATGTGGATGATTAGCACATGAGAAAATTGTACGTTGGGGGGTATGAGATGGACCAATTGATGTTGATATTCTAACGTCTCAAACTATAACATCCAATCGTAACATACCTCTCACTCCCTCTTCTTCGCCCTTTGAATTTTAAAAAATGAAACACAAGAATAATTATTTTATTTAATTCTATTTTGTCCCCTTTAGAATACAATATTCCCCGAAGAAATTTAAAATTATACTCACTAGCCATTACAAAACATCCACGTAAACCCCTTCACATAAAAGTGTTTGAGACTCAGATATTTGACATAAAGGATCCAAAAATTAAATGGTCATTATTAATATTATTATAATTATTCTTTTTGGTAGCTTATTTCTTAGCCTCTCCTCGTATAAATGAAATCTCTTGGTATGCGTAGTGGATGCATATTCTTATCTAACCTTCTCACTCAAACCCCTTCTTCTAGCTCATCGTCTCTTACCTTTCTTTTTTCCCTTTAACACTTTCTCTCTCGCTTTCTCTTCCTTGCATCTCTACCTTCCTCTTTCCACAAGGTATTTCTCAGCACCCTCCCTTTTATGTCTTCTTTTTGTATCATTTTTTTTTTTGTGTTTTCATTGTTTTTACAATTCGGGTATGCTTGTAAACCATTCACTTGTAGCTAGCGATTCCTTGCTTGATTGTGAGAGTTCTTATTCTTTGTTCTCTCTTTCTCTGTTCTTCTCTTTGCACTCGAATTAAAGGTTACATTTCTATATTTCATTGATTAATAGCTTAACTTTGAATATATTATTAGTTTCTTATGATATGTTAGTGATGAATTCGTTTTGTTGAATAGGTAAACGGCGATGGCAGGGTGTAACGGGGAAGACTATTTCGCTGCCCCGGAAGCTGAGGTACACCACCAAACTCCAACCATTCACAAATTTTTATATTTTTTTAATATTCATTTTATTATTTTTATATATCGTCATGGTTTTTCTACCCTCAAATTCTTTTTCTTATAATATGACGACATTATTATATACGACCTATGAATATGAAAAACAGTTGCATTACGTGGTGCTGTCAATAATTTGTGATTAGTGGGTACTATCAATTAGGAAAACGAAGGCTTTCTTTGACAGCAACTTCTAACTAGTGCAAAGTGATAATTATGAATTTTTTTAAACCATGAAAAGGGTGAATAATGTTAATGTTGTGTGGTATGGCATTGCAAATTTGCGACTAGGACTAACACACGTCAAGCAAATGTACCAAAAATTAAAAGGGAATAAAATCGGACGGCAAATCTAGCTGTCAATTTCTGATTGAATGACGTAACTGCACGTGTCGATTTTCCTTTGTGTACATTGCCTTGTACCAATGTACTCGTTTTCCAATTTCCATCATGTTTGTACCATGTACTTTTGTTGCATTTATCATATGGTACCTAAGTTTTTTCTTTTCTTTTCTGCGATTATTATTGGATGTTTAATTGTGGGTAACAGTCATATCAAACAAATAAAATGTGGGCAATAGAATATTATAAGAATTCAATTCCCACCTATTTCATCTATTGTTTTGATTATTTCCAAGTGTCTCTAAGAAATGCTTAGTATTTACAACTTTGAAATTTAGTAAAGGTTGGATTTAAAATAAAAAGGAAATAAGATGGGAGATTTTAGCGTGGAGATATTTTAGGGGATCCAAAATTGTCGGCTATAGGTTTTGAGGGGACTGTACCTAAAAGTTAAAAATATGGGACGATACAGCTTATAAAACTCACCATGCAAAACAAAATAAGCCTCACTGGCTGTTGGGCTGTCAAGCAAATCATGTGAACTTCGTTTCTTCCCAAACATGAGGTTCTCATGGCCATCATCAATTCACTTTTTTTAATAATAATAAAAAAAGAATGTAATTAAGCTCTTCTCGAATATCCTTTCTCTCTCTCTAGTAAAGTGAAAAGAATTTCGTTCTGAATTACACCATTATTTAACTTCGATATTCTTTTGAATTTGATGATATCAAAGGGTAGATTAGGTTCTTATTAGGTTAAAGGTAGAATTAGTCAAATGCATTCTTTTATTAGAAACATTTCATGAAGTCGTTTAAGTATTGTATGGGTGGGTAATGACTAGTTTTATGTAAATTAGAAAACCAGAACTACCACGACCTAGTCCTAGTGGAAAAATATGTAAGTTGAACTTCCTGGATTATTTCCTTACATGTATTTATGATTCAGATTAATAGTCCAAATGCATAACATCTTAGGTAAAATCATTTTTCCACTAGACCAACTTTGATTATTCTATAATGAAAACCTTTTTCTTGCACTAACTAATATGTGATATCATGATTTTTCTTATTGAAGACAATTTCATTTGGTGGTTGGTGAGACATGGCCCTAAAATTCAAAGTGTAACATCTATTGTATTTTTAATATATATTTTGTAGTCACTAGTGAATTTTATATAATCTAACATTCTCTTTTATTTCTTTTGGTTGGATTTAACACTTTAATATCAGCCATCTGCTGGAAAGAAGTATGGTGGGCTTGTCCCAAAGAAGAAGCCTTTGATCTCCAAAGTAAGCCCATACAAGAAAAACCATATTTTTTCAGACAATGCGCAACACATCCATATGTTACTTTCAGATTGACAAGTTCCAATAGAATCTAATTTAATTTAGTTTACGTTTTTTTGGGGTTAAAAGGATAATGAAAGGGCATTCTTTGATTCGGCTGACTGGGCATTATGCAAGGTATCTTACAAATTCATATGTTTAAAACAAACTTGACTTCTGATATTAATCATTCCTAAACCATCAAAATAAATTAAACAGTGAAATGTATGCCAAAATCTGATTATTAATTTTTTCATAATTATAATTTGTTGGTGTCTAATCTAAACAGCAAGGTGCTGGAGTGAATCAACAATCTACAGCAGCCGTGGAGACCCTGCGACCAAAGCTACAGGTACACATTTTGTATCTGGATTTAGTGCCCCTAGAAACCAGTCAAACGCAGAATATTAACACTTTGTGATTTGTACAAATTATATATAGTTTAAAAATACAAAGTATTAACTAGTATCATTACTCTGTGCTACATCAATTAATTGCACCCTTTCCAGATCCAGATCCACATATTTTGGTGTTTTGTACTAATAACTTTTAGTTTATGTTCGATTTTATTTTCTTTAAACATGTAACCATTTTCCCTCTATATTTTTTAAAACAGAGAACCCCACATCAACAGCTTCCACCAAGACGACCTGCGTGCACATCTGGTTGAAATGATTTCGTGAGTTAATAGTATGTACTCTTATTTTAATAGTATATGCAGTGTTGAATTATAACTCTATGCATGTGTTCAATAATTTTACATTTGTTGTCATGCAGAGAGAGTAGCATTAAGAAGCGGAACCAGGATTTGCTCGCTCAATTGTACTCTTACAAATCTCATAATGTTCCTGATCTTATGTATATTACAATTCGCTTGATGCTTTTTTCTATTAGCAATTCAATAAAAACTATGTTTCACTTTCCTTTTGTTTCTTCCATTAAGAGGGAATGGAGAATGCGGCTCATAACATGGTCAAATTATTGTATGGCCGTGGGATTTGGTGTTGATGGTTTCGGTCACTCATAAAATGACAGTTTTTTTTTTTTTCATTTTTAATTTAAAAAATTGATCAAATATCATGATTAATTTGAATCATGAACACGTGGTGATTCTAAACCATACAATAATTCTTATCATGACATGACATTCCATTTCAATAAGACTAGAGAATGCATCAATTATTTGCATTTTAAGATTTTTATTATATTGGGAGATCATGTATAGTTTCTTATGCGCCAATACTTGGTCGCGAAGTATTTGAACTTAATTTTTCTAATAAAGTTATTACTTTTAAAGAATATTTATTCCTATTCTAATTTATTTTTTATTTAAAATTTTATTATTAATGAATTTAATTAGAAAATATTTTAAATAAAATTTATTTTAAAAAGAGTGACAATAAACTTACCCTTACTTTTATTATGTGCTAATAATATATGTAACCAAATTTTAGTTTAAAAAGAGGATTTGATTACTGTATAATAACGATTAACAAAAGCATTTTTAATAATAAAATGTAAATTTATAACTGTCAATTATTTTTAAATTTGTTATAACATTTATCACAATCTTTATCGTTTTCTTTTGCAAATAATGACAATATTATTAAATGGAGTATAAGGTGTATTTCAATCCTTACAATTACAAGCAAACCCTCTACGAAGATATATAACACCTACGTTAGCTAGAAGCTAAGACAAACACTGAATTTAAATGAAATATTAGTATGAGTCAAACTCCAGATATTTGAATGTTAGAAGGGTCACCAAGTGTATCAAATCTTTTCTCTTCTCTCCAAGCCAGGATGATGCTCATTGTTATCAATAGAAAGCAAAAACAACAAAATATCCAACCCAAGCATAAAAAAAGGAGCAAATCCCGTAAGATTGATAGATGGGAAAAAGTGCTTACAATGCCTCTTGATGATTACCACATAATCTCTAACAAATCTGATACGATCCTTAATCAAGTTGATCCTTGTAGGCAAACTATCAATCAAAAGCTGCCATGAAAAGACTAGCACCTTATTTGGAGCAAAATACTTACAAAAGTTCTTGAAAGTCTCATCAAGGGGATTAATAAAAGCATGACCACTATCTTGACTTCGTGGAGAAAATAAGTCGATCTCACAAAAGAAAGCTTGTGAGTTGCTGATTTCCATATCCATTCATTAGAATTTTCTTTGCAAACAGAGACTGAAGCCAGAAGTTTATTAAATCAGCGAGTAACTCATCCTCTCACACAGAGAGTCGCCTTCTCTATATCTATTTCCAAATCTGACCATCATGACACTAATGTCTAATCCCCTTGTATGGGCTACACAAGCATGGTTATCTTCCCATGAATAACTCTTTCAACCTTCATTGACCCACATGCAAGCCTCATGCCAATTAAAGTTCCCCTCTTTCTTGACCCCTTATTTTCTTAGCTATTCCTTCTTGAAACTATTTTGGTTTTATATTTCCACTCCTTCCATCATATAGAGGAAACTTTAGGATTCCACCAATTATTGTTCAACTCTTCCCATCTGCATTTAAATATACTACACCAAAAAACTTTCTTTTTCAACAAGAAATTGCTACAATTCTGAATTTGTTTACCCATAAGTCTAAAATTAAATCATTCTAGCTTCTTCTTCTTCTTTTTTCCGAGACTGTCACTTGCCTTTGGTTGGTGGCTTTATCCCAGCTAATATAAGCAATCTTTCTTGTCCTCATAACTTCCCCATAGAAATTATAATAATTTGAATAACCATGAGTGTATTTAAGATTTTCTTGGAATTTTAAACAAATATAGAAAATACAATGGCAGATTTATCAACACAATTCAAAAGTGCAATTGGACGTCCAGGAAACAAATATTTACCTTTCTATGCAACTAACCTTTTTCTCATAGAATAGTATTTGCCCAAGTATTTAGCCTTCTAGGATTAGCTCCAACTGACGAACCTAATTAATTAATAGAATATCCCCAATTTTACAAATTAAGAAATTTGAGGCCATTAAAAGGAATATCTTATCAAGTTCATTCCAATAAAATTACTTTCATGAAAATTAACCATTAGGCTTGAAGCGAGTTCAAAATTACTTAAAACTGCTTTTAGAATTTAAAATTTTTCATTTACATTCGTCAATTGATATGATATTATTCACGTATTATAAATAAAAATGGATAACTTTAAATTTATTAATTTTTTTAATATCAGAATTTCTTCCAAACATGGGCAGAGGGAAGGGATGACTAATTGGTGTCATGATCATCCCCATATTACCTATATTTTTATCCAGACTTTGTAATAATCAGAGGTGGCAATTGTACGGTAAAAACATGTTAAAAAAAATCTCTTAAAAATAAAAAATATTTTTCAAAAATCAAAGGAGTCATCAAAATTTATGTAAGAAAACCTTGAATTTTTTTTAAATAATACTATTTTTGAAATAAAAAATAAGTTTAGGAGTTGTTTAAGTGTTGAGAAGGTGTCTATGTAAATAACAATTAGTTTAAATTAATTATGTAAATTTATTTTAATTTGAAAATATTTATTTAACCCCTAAATAATAATTATTGCTATTTTATTTTTAAAGAAAAAAATTTATTTGTTGAAATATTAACTGATATCTTAGTAAAGTGAAAATTATTTTAAAAATAGTTTTGATTTCTCACTCCTAGTATCTACAAGTGTAATAGGGAACTTAAAGCAAACTAATTCTATCATAAAAATTTTGAAGTTGGTTTATTAAAATTAAATTTAATAAAAAAATTTTATTTTGAGATTAAAATTATTTTTATAAAATTATAATGTTTAAGATATAAGATAACATGTTTATACATGTATCTTACGAGAAACAAATAATACGGAAAGTGAAGAAAGATTATATAATCATATTGTAAATTGTTAAAAAAATATATTAGTTAAATAAAATATTTAAATTTATATTTAAATTATGATTCACGTTGAAAAAAAAGTTAAGATAGCATAAATTATACATAATTTTCTTATGATTTATTAGACAATTGAAGATAATGTAAACTATATATCGATATTGTAAAAATTTGTATAATAAATTGAAGAAATATTTAGTTATTTAATTTATTAAAAGTAAAAATATGACTTAAGAAAAAATTAAAATATAAAATTAATTCTATTTAATGAAAAAAATATATATTTAGATTGATTAAATAAGATAATTATTTAATAAAAAAATTAAAAATAATTTTATATTGTATATGACTTAAAGTAAAACTGCTTTTAGAATTTAAAATTTTTCATTTACATTCACTAATTGATATGGTATCATTAGCGTATTATAAATGAAAATGGGTAACTTTAAATTTCAAATCTTTCTAATATCAAAATTCCTTCCAAACATGAGTAGTGGGAAGGGATGACGAATTGGTGCCATAATCATGCCCATATTATTATATTTTTATGCTATTGTATAAAAAGGAATTTAACACTCATTCCCTACAATAATTTTATATTATATAGGTAAATTTATTGACAGATTTTAAATAATTACAGACAAATTTTAATATTACAAATGAATTTGTAAATGGATAAAAATTTTTTTTGTAATTTTGACGTCAGTAATTTATATAGACAAATTTTTTAATTCATTTATAATTTATAGACAGAAAAATTCATTTGTAAACTTGTCTATAAATTTATTTTTTTATCTATAATTAAATATATTATTATTATAGACAAATTTTAACGTCTATAAAATTATAAATATAATTTTTTGTCTATAATAAATTAATTTATAATTATTTTATTTATAGTTCTTATATTACTCCATCAATCACATCTTTTTCTTCCACTTCCTTTCTCAAACATTTTATTTTCTTCACACTCCAATACTTTTTTTCTTTTTGCTCCAACCTCATTATTCCTCCATAATTCTACCTTTCTTTAATTTGATAACAAGACATTCACAATTGGCACTTTCTCTCGTGTGATCCATTTGTAATAAATAATTTATAATAAATAAGTCTATATGGTACACCAAAAATTAAAAAATAAAACTAATTAAAAGTCAAAGTATAATACCAAAAATACAATAGCACAATTTGTTTGCAAATTGGAGCAATGTGCAAGGAAACAAAAATGCTATAGAGATATCCAGAGAGAGGAAAATAAAGAAATGAGGAAGAAGAAGGAGGAGATGTACTTTTATTTTATTTTGCATATTACAGACAAATTTTTTTGTCTGTAAATGTATTGATTAAACGTAGCGTTTTATTATTTGACTTATAGATAAATTTTTCGTCTATAACTTAATTCATAGAATATTGTGTTTTATTTATGCAGTTACAGACAGATTTAATTTGCGTCTAATATTTCTTGCCTTAATTTCAAATTATAGATAAAAAAATCAGTTTGTAAATTTGTCTGTTATAGGAAAAAAAATCAGTCTATAAAATTTGTCTATAAAATTACAGACAATTTTTTTTATCTGTTAATCTGTCTGTAATACAAAAAAAAAATTAATTTGTAAAATTCATCTCTAAAATTATAGACTAATTTTTTTGTCTATAATATTAGAAGCGATTTCTTTTATCTATGCAAATCTGTCTGTGATATAAAAAGAAAAAAAAAACTACCTATATTTATAGGATTTTATAGACATATTTTTTTTCTTTAAATACAAATAGATTTTTCTAAATATTTAAAAAATTTATTTTTTAATTTTTCATTTATAAATCCATTTGTATTATAGATAAAAAAAATTATCTGTAATTCACATATTTTTAGTAATGTATTTATATCCAACATAAATTAGAAACTTGTGGATATATATATATATATAGGGTTTATCTAGTAAAAGATATAAACCGTGACTATATAATTATACGTAGTCGTAGCTTCCTTAAAACATATTTCTGGCTCTACCCCTGCTTGTCAACAAACCAATCAACCCTTTGACCACATTAGGAAATAAAAAAGTGAGCTAAAGTTTTGTATAATTCCTTATGGATCTGAGACATATAGAAAGAGTACAATTAAAAAAGTGATACAAATAAAGAATAGATTGATGCACACAATAATCCAATTCCTCCATTTTTCTCAATAATCCACGCCTTCATTCACCATTAGAACACCATTAAGAATATGTCTTTTAGACAGATTTGCAAATTGGCAACTTAAACAAAAGGACTTGGAACAAATTTAATCTTCAAAGAGACAATTCAAATATAATTTTATGTATACTACTAATGATGTAAAATAGGCGCGAAGGATTTTGAGAATATCTTCTAAAGATGATTCTTGCCTCGATTTTAATCTCACAAACTCATCTACTCTACCTATCTTTTGAAAGCAAGACTGAAATGCAAAGAAGTGAGACAAGTATTGGAAAAATGTTGCGTTTTGCCTGGCCTTTTTTTAGTCATCTTGCCACAATAATTAAAGAAGTGATTAACTTTTATTGGCATAAATTTTTTCACCTCAATGTTTTTTTTTTCCCTGCTCTTGTTTAAGTTTGAATTTGGAACTCTTAAACAATTAAAAAAAATAAAATTTTCATAAATAAAACTGCTTCTAAAATAATTTGTTTGATAAATAAACTTGATGATTGAGCCATCAACCAATTAATTTGGACTCAAAACCTTTTCTAGGTTTCAAATATGGTTTCCCTCTTCTAAGTTTTATCATTAATATTCTTAGGTTGATACAAAGCCAGAAGGATTATACTTAAAATCTAAGACAAATTAAGATTAAAATAAGCACAACCGCATGTGGCAACCCAATAACAATAATCAAAAGTTATTGTCCATTATTAATTAGACATGTGAGATGCAAAGTAAGCATGCAATTGGGACTAAATTTTAAAATCTTATAAAGATTTAATACAAATTTTAAAATTAATTAAAAACTTAATCACACTTCAAGGACAAACCTTTTTATTCCTTACATTGTTGTGTGTTATAGACATGCATTGTCACATGGGAAACTTTGAAAAACTACTCTGTAAAGTTAATGCACGACATTAATTTCATTCGTTAAAACTTACTGAATCATTGTTAAAAAACATTTCAAAATTATGAAACCGAACACAAAACTTGTGATTAAGAAATAAGCAAATGCTTTTGTTTTTCCACAGCAACAATTGTAAGGAAAGTATTACAACGCAAGTGAAACAATTTTAGGTTTGATTATGGGACTAATAACAAAGAGAAGTTGGTGGCTTGCATTTCAACCACTTCCCTGTCCTTATTTTATAGTCTTGTCTTTCATAAATATTAATCGTGACTGGCATCAAACCCTTTGACTACTTTCCCTTTCTAATGAAATTAATCCACCCAACATTTACACCCATTATTGTGTGCCACATGCAAAAACTCATTCATTTCACTTAATTATTTCAAAACCGTTTAACCTGTTGGGGGTTAAGCTTCATTAGAAATAAACATGTCATAGACTTATTTGCAAGGAACAGGAACATTCATACGCACGCTCACTTTATTAAGTTGATCAAGTAACCAAATGGTAGTGGTTGGTAATGTATTGGAATTAGCAAGGAATTTAGCAACTAACTAACTATATGTCTAGTAAGTGTAGTGCAAACAAGGGTAACGTTGCCTTGTTTCTATATAATGTGCACCAATTCAAAACTTTTTTAATATGAAATTCAGATCATATCCTTAAGCATCGATAATGGCATTCAGTGTCAGTGTTAGACGTTGGATTTTAACCTTTGCTCTCCTTTATGTGTGTCTATTTGGGAAAAACTTTGGTATGTTATTAACAAGATTAAACAGGTTCATTTTTTTGTGGTGTAAATTACTTTGTATTTGTTAAGCCTATTTAAGCCATACTTTGATAGGAAATGCTGATGATGATGGGTCCGAGGCCCAAAATGGTGGTGGGTTTGGTGGTGCTGGGGCTGGGTTCGGTGGCGCTGGTGGTGGGTTCGGTGGTGCTGGGGGTGGAGTTGGCGGTGGTGCTAGGGGTGGTGGTGGGGCTGGAGCCGGTGGCGGTGGCGCTGGTGGCTTTGGAGCCGGTGGTGGTGGTGGTGGGGTTGGTGACCCTTCTCAAATTATCTCCAAAGCTTTGCTCTGTTTCAATGATAAATACGTGAGTACCCTTCAAATTGAAATTTCTATTTACCTTTCTAGGAGGCTTGAAGTGCATGTAAGCAAAAAGAGTAATTTGAAGAAGAATTTGATTTTTTTGAGGGTTTTTTTCCCTCAAAATTTTAAATCTCAATTTGTATACCCATTTAATACTTTTTTCTACCTTCGTTTCATTTTTTTCTCCTCATTACATGTATCAAATTTTTTCTTTATTTCCTCCCAAGTCACTAAGGATGTATTTTTTAATTCATTGTCTATGGGTACGATAAATTTAAACATATGATAAAATATTTTTTTTTAAATTTTGCCTTACACTGGTATAAGTCTAAAAACTTTTATGTCAAATATAAACTTTTTATTTAACTTGTATCTAATAAGTTATAATTTATTATTTCACTTGCCGGTAGATGTAAGTTAAATGAAAGGTTTAGATTGAGTATAAGAGTTTTTAGACTTATATTAGTGTAAGAAGATTTTTTCCATATATACATATATAATTTTGTTAAAAAAATTGTTAACATTAATCTTAAGAGCTAAATATAAATAATTAATAATAGTAAAATTTTAGTAAAAAAATATTTATTGTACTTTTATAACTTTAATATAAGAATGTGTAATTTAAAAAAAAAGTTAGATGTTTAAACTTAGTAAACAAAACTATTTTGTTAAATCCTCCAAAATTTAAGTAATAAAGGATAAATTATATTTACAGATGAAACCTTCATTAATAAACCTAAAACTGGATCTAAATTAAGAAATTTAATAATTTTATTTTAAATTAAATTTGAGAAAAGGTTTAGTGGTATATAAAAGTTAGAAAAGTATGAAGTAATAAAGAATAAAGTATAATTTACCCTTAAAACTTACAAAAGAGTACTACTAGAATTTTTGAAGTCTGAGTACTTCATTTTGTGAGTTTTACATTTATTTGGTATGAGTATAGAGTGTGGTATACATGAATATATATCAATTATGAAGTATGCATTATTATTATTACTATTATTAGGGGGTACTTGACTACTTGGGTACTCTACTCGAGTATCTTTTTACGTTTTTTCTAATAATTTTTTTTTTCATTTTTGTTTTTTCTACTCAATGAGACTCATTCATATTTTAACAATTCATGGTAGTGACATTGAGTTTGGGAGAGGTCCCAAATAATGAAGACAACACAGCGATGTAAATTTGTTAATTTCTATTCATAGTAGGCATTATATATTTTACTCATGCTATATTATGATATGTTCAGAAATTTATGTGTTCTTTTTTTATGTTTATAAAATTTTGTTATGTACATATATGATCACTTGTATCTGTACAACATAATTATAATATTTCACTAAGTGTTTATTGATTTGATGGGGTCTCAGATTTATCAGAGTTGTGAAGAATCGTGTAGATTGAACGCTAATGGAAACTTGAATGTGCCTTTAGAGAAAACTAATGAATTCTGTGAAGGACCATGTCTGTCAGAGACAAACTTGGTCCTTAGCTGCTTGGATAACATTTTCAGCAACTTCTTATTTTACAACCGAGCAACGATACAGGACATCAAAGAAACAATTGAAGCTGCATGTGGTTATGGCCCTGAGAGAGGTAACATGCTTTAAATTTAATTGGTTTAATTATACTTTAGTCCTTAGTTAAATTTAAATTTTAGTCTTTTATTTTATTTAGTTTTGATTCCTATATAGTCTTTTTTTTCTAAATGTCTCCTATTATCACTTAATAATGATATGTCTCCTGTTATGTTAGTGACCTTAATTTAATGTGACATGCATGTTGCATCCTTAGGAAATGGCGAATAAGGACTATTATCAAATATTTTAAAATAGATAAAGACTAAAACTAGTAAAAAAAATTATTGCAGGATTAAAAATATATTCTACGCAATTTAATTCACATAATAATTGATAAATGGGAATTGCATTTGCAGGAGACTTCAACGTAGCTGAGCACATTCAGACTGAAGAAAGCAAAGCTCCAAAGGCCACTAGCTATGTTCTAATGGGACTTCCTTTTATCATAATGTCTTTGATTTTTATATAATATTATATGAGAAGAATTATTTGTGCTTGTCACTTTAATGTGTTCTTAATCACTGATATACTAGTGTTTTTTGTTTTTTGTCATACTAATGCTTATACAAGAGAGATTATTTGAAAATGTGGACTTTGTAGTATCTGTTGATCACTAATAATTTATAAACTTTAGTGTGTAAGACCCATCGTCATAACAAGCGAACAACTATGCATATTTTAGTTTAATTACAGGTTTATTTACATTTGCAAACGGCCCTATATTTTGATACCTTGGTTCCAATGACTCTAATTAGTGTGTATCTGTGCAAGTGTGTTTGTAGTTTTTAAAATGTTATAATTTTAAATTAAAATAAGGTCAAAATCGCGTAGTAACAAGTATAAGAAACTAAAATTGTAGACAAAGTTCTAAATCTTCTATTTATTTTTAGACAAACGGTCTTTTAGTCTAACGACACTGAGCCCTCTTAAATAAATATATTAAGAGTATAGTTATTTGGTACGACTAATATGCATATAAATTTTGATGAATTTTTAAAAAATAAAGACATGAAGGTAAGAGAGAGAAAACATAACATGAAAATAACTTTTACAATATAAGTAACGTGGAATTAGATTTCATGCAGCGAAATATTGTTTATAATTTAATCCCTTCAAATCTTGATTGCCATACTTAGCATAACTTTCTCTAAAGAGCAAGTGAATTGAGAAAAATAAATTATTAATACTGTAATAAAAGGTTTCAATTTTTGCTTTTCGACTTTTAAGGTAAATTTAGTGAATATAAATAAATAAAAAAAGTTATCCTGAAAATAAAACAATGGATTCAAACAAAATTTACGCTTAATTTAGATGAAATTCTAAATAAATCTTTATAAAAAGAAAAAAATAATATTATAAAAATATAAAGAAAAACTATTACAGTCCCTAAAACCACACAATGTCAACTATGTTAAATATTAATTTATTTTAGACACAACTAATATAGTGTGACATTTGTAACATTTCACAATTAATGTATAATTGAATTTTGGGATTCAACCTAAAATCGAAGAGCTGAAAATTTATTAACGTGTTCTCTGAATGCAAGCGTGTTTTGTCACTTTGTGCTCGCGAATTATAGAAACCGGATTCTGTTTTGGTCCAAAGAAACCATTTGCTCAATCAGAGTTTAAGCAAATGGATTGGGCTAACACCAGAATATGAGTTTGAGAAGAAGCCAGAAAAGTACCCAACCAACGCAGTCCACAAAACAAAAAACCATACTTAAACTTATCGTTCTTGACAAAAAATGTGAACACGTCATCAGGGGCATTCCGAGAATCGAACTCGGGACCTCTCGCACCCAAAGCGAGAATCATACCACTAGACCAAATGCCCTCATTTATTAGTGTAATTCACTAAATTGAACTAAAATCGTACGCCAAGCCTTAGACAATCGAGAAGGGTCACTCATCTCTTATTATTATTATTTTTATTCACCTTATATTTTTAGCTTTAATTTATTTATGAAGTCTCAATATGTTGTATAGTTTATTTCCTTATACGTAAGCCCATAGACACATCTTGATTTTGGTTCTTCTAAATTAGACTTGTGTAGCTTGGTGATATCCTTGTAAATTATCATGTCCTTTGGTGACAGTTGTAGCATTATTAAAATGTTTAATTTATTCCGCTTATAAATGATCTTTTGTTTATTACCAGAAAAGTGTTCTTGATAGAATATATATATATATATATATATATATATATATATATATATATATATATAAAATAATTTATATGATTTATAAAATAAAGAAAAAAAAAAGCAATGCTATGAAAATATTTTAAATAATATCATATGATTCATAAAATTAAAAAAGATGCAACACGAACCATGCAGGATTAAGAGAACCGTCCAATGTTACAAAGGACTATTCTCATAATGACGTGTATGACAAGGAAGATTAAGAATTCTAAAGTTTTTAATTGAAAACGATTAATTTACCCAGGTGGTTGGGCTAATAAAATAAAAAATTATTATCGTACAACTTATATTAAGTTCTTAAATTCAAATTCAAATTCTTTTTTCTTTTCAATGCGCATGTTGGTGGTCCTTGACTTCGTGGTCGTAGTCCCCTAAACATGACAAATTTTGCAGGTTATCTAAAAATGTAAACAGCCATCGAATTAGTTTTGAAAAGGTATCATTTTCCTTTGGAAACGCAACTACTATAATCCCATGTAACTTTTTTTTATCAACCTTTCCCGTATCAGGCTCTTATTATTATTATTATTATTAGGTGAACATGTAGATGATGATAGCAGTGTAATTAATTGACTTACATGCAAAGGAATTTGATGGTTTCGTGAACACCTGAGTAGCACCGTTGATCACCAGCTACAGAAAAGTTGAACCTTCATGATATATTCAATTGGATCTCTCAATAACTACCGAAGGGAGACAATCAAATTGTTCTCCCTGACTAATATTGTCTAGCTGATCATGAATTCTTCAAAATGGTAACATCATTACTTAATTGATTTGCTCAACATTATTCTCCTGTGTTCATCAAACTTAGATTTTTCATTTTCCTGTCCAAAAAACAGAGGGAATTGAAGTGTTCTCCTCCCACTCTTCTCAGGCTCTTTTTATTTTAAGTAAGAGAAGGTGTTGTTTATATTTGTGTCATTGTATTAACGTATTTGGAACCACGTTAAATAGACATTGGATTCACGTTTGTAACAATGCTACCAATAATAGCTTCTGCATGAGCGCGGATTGGAGTCTACACTCAAAGTGTACACATTATGTCACTTACATATTCAAGGTGAGGGAATGGAAAAGCTGAAACAGCTAAGTACTAGTGATATAATACATGTTACAGACTTTTGTCTCTATTAACTCTAGATTGTGGAGTAAGATTATACTGTATCATAAAGATTACGAAGCTGACCCTCGTGAACAAGAAATTTACGGAGGTAACGTGTGCTAATTTTTTCCCAATTAATTTGATTGATGTGGTCAACATTTATGGTAAGCGTTACATTGCATGTTACATTGGTTTCTTTTTTATATTACTGCAGAAGATGATGTTATCTATAGACAAGATTTTTCCAATAGATCCTGTAATGAAACGTAGAGGAATTGCTTTAAGAAGTGCCTATAAAGATATATTAGAATTTTTCAAGTTGAAGAGAAGGGACCTAGCTCAAGCTGATTCCAATGATTTTGATCCTCATCATCAAGAGCACAGTGATTATTTTGATTATATGAGTTTTCTTCCCCTTGTTCCTTATGAGAATCTCCATGAATCACATGAAGCTGCTACATGTATTTCTGTTCAACCTTCAGCTCCTCCAATTCCTGATTCTCCAACATGCTTCCATTCCCCAAGAGCAGATTCTAATACCGTTATTAAATTAAATCTGTTAGCAAATTTTGAAGTTCATGGTGAACAAGTGGACTACAAAGGGATGGGACTAGTAGACACGGTGTATGTTCCTTTGCTAGAAGAAGTTTGCAATGTTCATCCTTTATTATTAGAGTGCCAAAGGAAAAGGACTAATGAGTATGCAAGTTGGGCTTTTAATGCACTTGGCAGGGTTTTGCATTTCCTTGAGACCACAAAGGTGGCACAAATGAATGAGGACGCATGTGATTGCCTTAAACTGTTGTGGGATGAAGTTCAGGTGTTTGGATTTGACTTGTCATGGCTTGCACCCCAAGTGGAGTTTGCTCTTAGCATGAAAGGCTACGTGGAGAAAATTAGTAAAATGAACAAGCTTGAGGAGGAAAAGAGGAGCCTAGAGGTGAGAATTCAAGATTTGAGCTTGAAATTGATTGAGAAGAGAGAGAAGTGGAAAGCTTCAAAAGTGATTTGGCAAAATTGTGGGTGGACTTGGGTGAAAAGGTGGACTCACAAAGGTTGTTAGGATATCATATTTAACCGTTGGTTAATAAAAGTAAAAAGCTTTTATTGAGAATATACGTTTATCATAAATATTTGTAGAATTTTAATTTCCTTAACTTGAGTTTTAGGATAGATGTTGACAAAACATTATATTTAATAGTTTTGCATTTGAAATATATGGGTTGTTTCATTTTCTTAGAAAATCTGTACTTCAATTCTCTTACCCATAATTATCTAAGCTTAATTTGGACATTAATATTTAAGAATTTGTTTTTAAATAATCTCAAATGCTGATGCGCTTAAACCCATGGATAACACATGTTCTGTCGTAACTATAGCGCCAAATGTCTATTATTAGTGTTTGGCCATGTTTTATTTCTCTCTTCCCGAATCAATTTAAGTCTCAACCACTAATAAGTTCAAATGGCTGATTTGACGATATCAGTTAAAAATAAACTGAGATGACAGAATCATGTCTTAAGATTTTGGATGAAGATATAATATTATGTTTAGTTTTGTAATCTATTGCTCAGCACATCACTGTAGGTCCTTTATTTGGCCCATCGGTGCAAGCAATGGAACCCAATTTGGTTACTTACACTTAGAAGAATATAAAATGCATGAGAAGATCAATGTTTTAAACTGATACGTGAATTTTAGAAATTATTATTATCATTAAATTTCCCCGTCACATAATGTAAAGGAATAGAAACACAATATTCAATTAAACTTCAGCACACAAATTATTTACTAACAATTTTTTTAATCTTTTTAAATTGTGGTAATCTCTAACCTCTCGTTATGACTGCCTTGAGGTACATTTAGAGCTTTGGGGTATGCGCAATAGAATTCGGGTAACCATATCATTAAAGCCTCGCTGAAACGACAATTTGTGATGAGGAGAAAGAAAGAAAAGTGTTTTCATAAGTTTATCCAATACTTTTTTGGTATTTATAATGTCTTAATTTAATTTCAAAGTAATAAATTTTGTAAAATGAGAATAATAAAAAATTTATTTAAATATAGTTTCTCAATACAGAGTTTCATTAAGAGTTTTTAAAACAATAAAGGATTACAAGTTTATATCTTTAACTACTATAGGACTAATCTAATTACATTGTAATTTTAAATTAAAATCTAAGCTCTATAGCAGTTTCATTCATCCCTTCACTGAATCCGGTGTTGATCGTCTTGGTCACATGAAAAATA